CCGTGAATATGGTTCTGCACGCTGTTGTTGATATGATTCTTGTCTGAGTATGTCTGGAGCATCAGTCGTCAGGGCTTTGTTTAGCAGGTGGGAATGTCACTCGCAATCCAAGTGATCCAAAGAGATGCTGCTGACGACTTTAAAGCAGAGAATTCCTGAGGAGATGAATGGAGACAGCGAGAGGCTAAGAATGAGCTGCTGTGGATGTGAACTATGAAGTAAAGCCTGAGCAGCGCTCCGAGAGGCAGTTGATTTGCTTTGACAGGGAATTGAAACGGGAGCCTCTGCAAGTGCAAAACAGTCGTACGTGAAAGATTGTTTCACATGGAGATGGTTTCACAGGGAAGATGATATAAGGAGGTAATCAAGCAGGTAAAGCTGGACGCAATTTTCTCTCATCATTTCTCATAATCACATCAGCCATAATCGCATGAGAGTGAGCGGAGAGAGAGAAGCTAAGCCAGTTTCTATGCTCTGGTATAATCAGATTTACCCCATGGATGTATTTAATCAGGGCTCTTCAGGTAGTCATCAAGACAGATCAGCGCCCACCTCAGGCTAATTATGTCATTTCGCTTCAATATATTTTGTAATATGATAAAAGCTCTTTGAGGTGAAGTGTGTAATTTCTTTGCCACTAGCAGGACCCCCAAAAAATACTGTTTTCAGACAGGTTTCTTAAACACAGGTTTCTTATTTATTTGTTCATTTATTCATTAGTTCAATTTTTTATTTGTTCATTTACTTTATTCGTTTTTTTGTTTTCTTTTACATTTAACAATTAATGTAATTTTATAATATTTGTTTTTACTTTATAAATATTTATTCTTTTTTTTTTTTTTCAAATTGTGCAACCTGTTTGACTAGTTTGGTTTAGTTTCCTTTGAAACTTTGAAAATATTCATATATAAATATTTTGCATATCTCCTGCATAGAGTCAGTGCCACTTTTTGAGCAATAAAGCCTACTTATAGTTGTCTTAGCATATTATCTTGGAAAAGGAGAAGTATTTAAATATTGAAAAAAATATTCACTTGACCATTAAGCAAAGAAACAGCCTTATTTTCCCTATAGAACATTTTTCTTTTGATGAAATCATTTTAGTTGAATTAAATCTGTGAATGAAAGTGTATCGATTTGTAATATAGATGAAGATGTTTATGTCATTGCTGTTAAATCTTGCCATTAAATACATAATGTTTGCATAGTGTTTTTTGGATGTTATAAACTGATAAGATTTGTTCTCCAAAAGAAAGAGATCCCGCCACAAATAAGGAGATAACAGTACATTATTTCCATCTGATTATTAAGATATAAATATTCATGATTCATATGAATATCAGCAAAGCTTCCGTGTAATTTCCTCTGTGTCATGTTTAGCCCTTTGTCAGCATACAGATGCAGGAGTTTGTGCGTTTGAAGTGCCTCTGTCAGCGCATTCTGTTTCCCTGGACATGTAAAAGTGCGTTGTCAGAACACTGAAATCACTCCTCCATAGAGATTTCTGAGATGATCCACACAAATCTGTAATCTCACAGATGGATGAGTACATATAGAACTGGTGAATTTAATAACGGTGGTGACTTGATGTTTTAGACAAATTCTAAATTATAGTTGTTTTTTAATGATTAATTATATAAGTTTTGTTCCATGAACGAAACAGGAATGTTAGCTGTTCGCGATTAATCGATTTGACAGCCCTTATATTTAATTCTATTGGTTTATTTTCTTTAAAAAATAGATTTGCCATCAGTGCTAGGGTATTGTCAATGGTTTTTGTTGTAAATGTGGTTACTAAGGTTGTTTTAGTGCATTGCTCCAGTATGTGGTTATTAGATGGATACTTCTAATTATTATTCGTATTGTACTAATGTTAACATGCTACAATAATTGACAGTTCAAAAAAGGCCTGTTGCTTTATACAGCTTATGCACAAAATATCTTCTCGGCATTAGGCCGTCATCTCAGGGGAGCCACTGAATTTGAAAATGGATTCACAGGTACTATATTTAGACCCATCGCTGGTGAAATGATGTTCAGGTGAATATCCTTGAACACAATGTGTCATTGCTGTCTGCATATTACATAAGCTGTGTGTGATGCACTCATCTCTCATTCCCAGTCTCTCTCTCCCTCTCACTTAGTAAAAATATGAGTTTTGTCTTACTTTCATAATTCAGCGGTACCTTCACCTCTCGGAGCAGCACATATGGTCTGTCATATTAGCCCTAAAATCAAAATGGACTTTTCTTGTTCAAAGAGTTCACACTAGCCCAGAAATACACTCCAAACTTTGATTTTCAGATATGAGGTCATGCATATCTGTCTTCTGAATCTGAAATGAGCTCCTTGACTTCATAGTGGAAAAGTGTTATTTAAGTGTGCCCCGAAAAAACCAGACAGATGCTTTTATCAGCACTGGCTTGAAAGTTTTCCATATTATTTAAGCAAATATGCAGAAGCTAAAAATCTGTTGGTTTAGTCGGAGATGTGCTGCTTGTGCGGGTGTCAGGAGTTCAAATCCGGCTCGTGTCAGTTCCCGATCCTGAGTTAGACCAGCAAAAGGTGCTTTGCTGGTGTAGCTGGTCTCCAAGCAGGTGTTTAGTGGGTTTAACTGGTCAGCCAGCTGGTCTGCCATCTTCACCAGATGAAAATGTGTCCAGAAACTCTGTATAGTGCTCAAAATAAATGCTTCAGCTTTTTGCTGTTAAAATGTGTTTTATTTTGTAGAATCAATGTGTCCATATTTTATTTATGATTGGGGATATTATGGAAATTATAATGAAAATGATATAGGAAATTGATCTCAGACAGTTTGATTCATTGTGATGGAGTCAGTTTAGCAATTGTATGGCAATAACAGCCAGAAAGATGTCTGATTGGACTATTGTTGTTCCATATGGGAATGATAATGCTTTTATCCCAGCAGACAGCTTAGCTTCTGTATGACTGACTGAATCTCTGCTGTTCTGTTAAATATACTATATGTATGTGATTCTGAAGGTTTCTGATTTTCTCAGCAGCATTTCATATTTTATGTCTCCTTGGTTACAAGCAGACTGTTATTATTGATTAAGATCATTAGCCTCATCTGATGACCTATACTTTACATCTGTGCTTGCGCTGTGAAATAAAATCAAATCTCGTTATTAACTACCCACCTGATTAATCTTAAATTGTTCTTTGAATTGCCAGAATGAATAAGAATGCTAAATTAAATAAAACTAATTTCAATGCAATGTAATTTTTCTCAGAAACGTGAAATGATTTTTTTATTTAGGTAGCTTCATATTTTAATGGTTCACATGCTCAAGTATTTTCCCCTTGGCAGTGAATAATAAATGTCTGTTTATCACCTGATTATTGGTCATTGCATTGGCATGATGGAAAGGTCATTAAAGGGATAGTTGACACAAAAATGAAAATTCTGTAATTAATTGCTCATTAATTAATTAATTACTCAATTGTTGAAAAAAGTTGTAATTTTTGTATTCTTTGTGCACAAAAAGTATTCTCGTAGCTTCATAACATTACTTTTGACCCACTGATGTCAATATTTTTCTGAGCCTTGAAAGTGTTGCTGTCTATGCAGGGTCAGAAAGCTCTCGGATTTCATCGGAAATATCTTAATTTGTGTTCTGAAGATGAACGAAGGTCTTATGGGTTTGGAACGACATGAGGGTGAGTAATTAATGACAGAGTTTTCATTTTTGGGTGAACTATCCCTTTAAAGCCAGTCTGCAAAAGCAAACAGCAGGGATGGACTTTTTCTCTCACTGGGAAGTTCACAAACTCAAAGCTGGATAATTTTTTTCCAGACTAAGATTTTTGTGAAATCAGAGATGATTTGGTTGAGAGCTCAAGGACTGGATTATGATATCGTTGCTAAGTATGCGTCCTGCAAATCCCCAGTGCCTGATTTCTTAAGAATGTTTGATTACCCTCAGAAGACTCAGCCTCAGTTAATGCATTAATTATGCACCCAATTTACATAAACAGTCAATATGGAATTTGCAAATAACACTTTGCGAGTTTTCAGAGTTACTTTATTGTCTAGTGTTTTTTTTAACTGACTGTTCGCTCTTATTTGGTTTTAAATGCTGCTCTAGAAATGACCAGAAAGTACCATAGTGCTACCATTTTTATTTATTCCTGTGATGCAAAGCTGAATTTTCAGCAGTGAATTTACTTCAGTCTTCAGTGTCACATGATCCTTCAGAAATCATTCTAATATGCTGATTTGGCATGCTAGAAAAAAAATCGTATTATTGATGTTGAAAACAGTTGTGTTGTTTAATAGTTTTGTGGAAAGTAATTAATATAATAAAAACATGCATTTGTTTTTTTTTTTTGTTTGTTTTTTTTAAACAGAAATATTTTGTAATGTAATAAACACTGGCACTACTCATAAATCTGTTGAATTCAGAATACTGTAAAATCTGGCTATATATATAATTAAATTGTGTGTGTGTGTTTGGCCAATTAATTTTTCTTAAACTTTAGAGGAAAATGACCAAGTCTGATTTATTAATGTGAATAAACTCCAGCTGTCTGTTTCAGTGGTTCTTATTCAACAATTCATTTACATCATCACTCAAAATGTTCACTGGGGTTTCTGTGTTGCATTTTTTGTATTTTAAAATGTTTTAGTAAAAAATGTAGATAAATATTGCTGTTTATTACTGTGAATCTCTGAATAAATATATTTTATAATTGTGAAACATGCTTCAACTTAAATTACATTTTTGTTGCATGTTATGTCTTGCAGTAAATATTTTTATATTTTAATGCAATATCTTGCTTTAAAAGTGTACTTGGCTAAGTACCATGGTATATGATTATGATAGTTTTAAGGTTATTTGCTTTTACCATGTGAATCTATTGTATCATATCTTACCATCATACTATGAGAGTACGTTTCTGTAAGGCTGTATTTTGCTTAGTCTTGTGAATAGCTTAAATATTCTGATAGACATGATGTGTGTGTTTTTTTTCTGCAGGCACAACAAGACAGCCCAAAGAGGGGGAGGTCCCAGGTGTGGACTACAACTTTGTGAGCATTGAGCGGTTTATGGAATTAGAGAAAAGTGGGGCTTTGTTAGAAAGTGGAACATACGAAGGTAAGTGAAATACACTGTTAAACCTCCCGCATCTCAATAAATGATTACCTCTCGAAATAAAGCTTATATCACACCTGTTACACCATTGAGGCCTGGAATATGAATTTCTTTAAATTTGCTCGGTTACCGCAAGAAGGAGCACGTATATCTTTGACATTGAGCAAAGGTATTTAGAACTAGTGCAGTTTGGTCTCTTGAGAGCCGACACTGAGGTGTGTGAACTACTTCCAGACACGGTTGATTTTCTCTTCATGAGGCGAGGAAGATCCTTCCCATGACTCTGTGAGGCACAGCATCATAACAGCTTCAGTGGCAGACACATTGAGAATAACTTTATATTAACTCTAAAACAGCAGAGAAATACAAATTTGCGATTTTTGATGTTCATATGATGTTCTTATAATCTTCGTATGTCAGTAAAGAAATGTTTTATAGTTTCGATAAATTACATTTAATGGGAATCATATCAATTATCGGTGAATATTAGAGTGATTTTTCCCTTATTTTTAAATTAACTTCGCAGTCATCTAATACTCATTTAAAGTTCATCTTAATTTAATAACACTGTTCAATGTAATCTTCATTAAGATTCAAAATTAATATCCAATATTCATAATACTATACACTGATGTGAAGCTTTAATTCACTTGTAGCACCTTTTTTCATTTTTTATTATTTTTTAATGGCCAGAATTGTATTATCAGTGTATATCCCTAATATTGAATGAAATCAAAATTATTGCCTCATTAGTTATTAGCTTTGAGATCATGCTTATGCTAGTGTCCTGTGTTTCGGTTTCAAATAAATGCTGTTCTTTTCAACTTTCTATTCATCAAAGATTGCTGAAACAATTGTATCGAGGTTTTTACTAAAATATGAACTGTTAGGACATTACTAATAATAAGAAATCTTTCTTGAGCAGCAAATGAGCAGATTAGAATGATTTCTGAAGGATCATGTGACACTGAAGACTGGAGTAATGATGCTGAAAATTCAGCTTTGTCATCACAGGAATAAATAACATTTTAAAATATATGAAAATAAAAAAAAGTTCATTTAAATTGTAATAATATTTCATAATATTACTGTTTTTACTGTATTTTTTGATCAAATAAATGCAGCCTTGATGAGGAAAGAAGAAAAATTATGTATGCAAATTTTTGTCCAATTAAATGCTCCCCTGAATGAGAATGTACCATCTGTCTCTGACTAACAATAGCTAGCAACAAATCATGGTTCATGTCAAAACAGTAAAAACAGCTGTTTTTAATTTAATAGGATATGTAAATAGAAGTCAGCACAATATATAGGTATTCTGGGTCACAGGCTGTAATTTAACTGAATCTATGAACTTCACCTCTTCTGTTTCCGTCCCCACAGACCTGCAAATGAATTCCTAGAGCCTTGCTGTAACCACACAGGAGCTCAGTTTTTAATCATTAAACAGATTTCCCTGGATACACATGATTTCTTTTCAATCTTAAATGAAACGATTGAGTCGTCGGTGAACGAGGGTGTCGAAACGCTAAAGATCACACCGAAAAAAAATAACTCCAGCGAAGTTATTGAAAACATGATTGAATAGTTACTTCAAGTCAGACTTCACCTTTTTGCATGCCAAGTAACTGTGAAAGCAGTTTTTCCTAGTTGAAGTCCCAAAAATGTGTTTTCTGTTGTTTCTAGATAACTTCTATGGCACGCCAAAGCCTCCTGCTGAACCCACGCCGATGCTGTTTAATGTGACGGACCAACTCTTGCCCGGTGCCCGACCCAGTGCAGAGGGAAAAAGGAAGAGAAATAAGTCTGTCAGCAACATGGAGAAGGACAGCATTGAGCCACCAGAAGAGGAGGAGGAAGAGAGCCCCGTCGTCAATGGCAACGGCATCGCCATCACACCAGGTTACGACCTACCACTGTTACTGAGATAGTTTAAACTGACCCAACTGAGTCAATTATGAATGTGGGCTTCACGGCCCCTACGACTCTTTTCTAATGAAAGATGTTTCAGACCAGAGTATGATGCTTTATTTAAATTTTTCAGTTGTTGCATAACTCCAAGATGAGGTTTTGAATCATACTTTTCAGGAAGGAGCCTTTACTACTTTACTAGCAAGACGTCTCATCCTTTTAAAGTGGAAGCACGTCTCACCCCCTTCCTTTGATACATGGCTAAAAGAAGTGTTTACTTGCATTAAATTGGAAAAAATTAGACTGTCACTCACTGGTTCGTTAAAGACCTTTGACAAGGTGTGGGCGCCCCTTTTTAGATTATCTGCTGGCTAACTGTCTTGATACTTAAGCTGAGCATTAATATATAAACACAATTTTTATTTATGTTTTTTAAACATAAAGCATTATTTTTTTTATTATTATAATAAATCGATTTATTTATAAAAAAAATTTTAACCTCTGTTTTTTTTTCTTCCTTTTTTTTCTTCTCTCTTTCTTTTCTCTCCTTTCAAACTGAATGTAATGTTTTTGGACACTCAATTGCTTGTTAACTGCAATGAATTGAGAATTTATTATAGTTTAAATGTATATTAAATTCAGTTAGTGTTCACTTTAAAGTGTTGAAGTACATCTTTATATGCAATTTCATAATTACTTTAATTGTCTTTGAAATATGGTTAAAGTGTACTGGTGAATGTACTGACAAGCATTTATAGTAAGCTAGGGCTGTCAAAATGGCTGAAAAACTACATTCGAATTTTGTACTTAAATATTATCAAAATTCGAATTATATTCAAATTTAAAATGCATAATTTCAGTTAGGATGAAGAAAAGCTTTTGGATTCTCTCCTGAGGCCACAAGAGGGCGCATCGAGCAAAATATTACTAATGCATTTATTCAAAGCATAAGATAGCACGACTATCTGTGAAAAAAGTGCATAATGTTTAAAATAATGTTTATAAACCAATTATAATTAAGTTGCTTAAACAACTATAAACAAAAAAGCATCA